AACATTTTGTAAAAGTACCAAATAGGCTTAACTTTGTTTTTTACTAATTTACATAAATTTGACTATTTGGACATACACATCCTAATAAGGTTATAATTAGGGCCCAAAGCCATTCCACATGTGTCATGTGTGGACAAACATGTGCTTTGCATGTATTCAGAAGTAAGTCATGTCAGTGTGAGCTTTACTGAAGACAGGTAAAGTTCTAGGTGTTGTACATACATGTACATGTAATCCACATCAAGAAAGAAGAATTGTCAAAGACTAAACAAAGAGTTTTTTAATACCTTTGTTCAAGGTACATGTAAAATCAATTGGTTTCACTTTGTGTTGCTTGAGGATTTAAAGGGGGTGTTCCACTTGTATGTGCTTTCCATGGCATATACACGTACAGTATCTATCATAAAACACACAATGTAAGACTAGTTTTAAAAGCATTATGCCATTAGTCATAAATTTCAGTGAAAGGGATAATCTCTCAGCCTAATTGCTAGCCCATTCCTTTGATTTTGCAATCATCTAAAAGGGTATATACATCTACTCATTTACATTTAGCTTCTTTTTGAATTTTACATGTGTACTCTAACCTGTGAAGTGTGAACTGGAAATCTTTAAAATGGCAGCTAAGTAAACAGGCAGCATTTGTCATACAAAAATGTTTAATTTCATGTTCCAAGACCAAAAGACCTTACAGGTACATGTATGCAATTGTCTTTTAATTTGATTTATTTATCTGAAGGATTGTCAACTGTAGAAAAATTTTTTTTTAGTTTGAATGTTTGACAGTACATAACTTGGTTAAATGAGCAAAATTCGCATAAATACTTCTAGACAATATTTTCCTTCATACTGTTTCATTGAATGCCCCATCCAATCATCATCCAATCATCTTCATCATCCAATTCCTTTCTAGTTGCTTTTGATGATTTTTGTATGGCTTGGCATTTTCTTTTGATTTGGAAAGTTTACTAAAGCCTTCATGAAGGTCGAAAAATGAGAAAAGCTTGGGTTTGAACTGATTACCTTCTATTCTGAAAAGTCAGTTTGGATGTGTACGTGTGACACCAAAAAATGTACGTCCGACACCAATATAATAAATGCTTTATCTAAAAGTCACAACAAGATAAAAATGTATCTTGCCTTGAAGTTTATTAACAAGGGTCTGCTAAAACTAAACACAGGAAAACTGCTTCTTCAGGTCCTAGCATTTCACAGAGTTTGTGATACAAAAATGGAAACTCAAAAAATTAACTTTCTCTGCGTACGTCCGACACCATGGTGCTATGAGTCAGTTTCTACAAGGATAATAATTCTTAGTGAGAAATTTTGTTATTAAATAAATGTACCAACTAGCTGATGTCTTTTATCAAAATCAAAATCTGCTTCAGGATTATAAGTATAATAACACGCACTGCTGAAGTGTCCAAAATGTACGTCCGACACAGTGGAACTGCCCAATTGTAATTAAATCACAATAACAAAGAAAAGACTCAAGGGGTCTATACCTGCAATGTCATTATTAATCAATTTTGAATACTCTTTGGATTTGATTGAAACTTAGCAGAAAAATAAAAGCCGACAAATACACTTACAAATGATGTCTGCACATGCACATAGGTTATGCATAAATCGTTACCATGTAAACAGGATTTTTAAAAATCTATTTTTAAAACAAAATGAGGCCTACAGGTAGTCATGGTAGTACTGGGCCTATGCACAGTGCAGACATCTTCCATCATTGTCATTTTTCAATAAAGATTATACGTTGAGGCAGAGTTGGTACGGTTGGCGAGCAAGGCTTTGTATCATCATAGGCCTATCACACACATTCACAGGCTCAAGTGTAACGTTATTCCAGCATTTAAGATCAAGACACGCAAGAAACACCTCTTGGCCCCCAAGTCTTGGAAACTTGCAAAGGGAAATAATGAAAAAAAAATGAAGGAGAGAACAAATTTAAGTATAGGTCAAATGGACCCCCCCCCAAAAAAAATAAACAAATAAGAAAACACTAAACTCACTGAAATGAACTCGATCACGTTCTAAAGAAGTGAAACGCAACACCAACACCGAGTTCACATCATGCGTCACGTCAAATTCTTTGAGCGACCCGCTTGTGCGGTTTCAAAATTTGAAGTAGTCGGTGCAAAATTACCGCTACTTTACACGCTGGCAAGAAAACTGTGACAAATCCCTAAAAATACACCTTACAACATTGTTGTATTACTGGCCTACAAAAAGGGTTAGTGACTCATCAGTACAGAACCGGCCGGCCGTATTCACTAGCCGGCCTCGCACTCGCGCCAACTCTTTGTTTACTTTTCTTGAAGAGTGCGCCCTCTCTCTGGACAATGAGACCAGATTTCCTAGGTTTTGGAAGTCAGGACATCTTATGGGTGCAGACCACTAATTCAAGTGAGAATTTCTGACCAGCTCATTAGCATTAAAAGTGCCCCCTTCCTC